TCTGAGGTATGCCAAAATGCTTAGAAACCTGTGAAACGTGAAGATATGCAAAAATTTTCATTTTCGATTTTTGGTCCAATACTTATCCTGCGGAAAGTTTAAAATATATAGTTATTACAAATGACAGATCAAACAATATATGACTAGGTGTAAGTGGCATTTTGCCTTAAGACAAGTTAAGGAATTTCCTGATATATGTAATAATTGAATTAAACAAATATTTAATTAATTTCCTGTAGGGCAAGTTATAGTAATCGCAAAAAAATCGAAAATGAACGTTTTTATATATCTTTACGTTTCAGAGGTTTCTGAACATTTTGGCATACCTTAGAAAAAATGGATGTGTGTGTGTGTGCGTGTATGTGTGTGTGTGTTCGGATACAAATTTCCGTCGATACGGATGAAGCGATTTGAATAATTCAAAAAACATTCGAATCGTATTGATAAGGAGACGTGCTGATTAGGTTTTGGCAAAGGCAGATCTAGCCATTTCGAAGATACGGGGCAAAAAGTGCCAAAAATTGTAACTCGGTTTTTAAGAGAATGGAGCGTCCGATTTTAATAATTCAAAAAACATTTTACTTGTATTGACAAGATGAAGAAATGATCAAATTTTCATGAAGGCAGGTCTAGCGGTTTCGGAGATATAGTGAAAAAGTAAAAAAAAATGCCATTTGGCGGTCAAAAATGATCATTAGACATATGCACATCAAATTATCAGATATTTTACAGAGATTTTAATAATAAGTATTTGTTTACATTCCAATGGGTTCCGTACCAATGTTTATCCTTTAGACGGCGACGCGGCGCTTACGCGCTTTGACATTTTGTCCTTATGCAGTTAAAGCAGTGAGATTGCTTTGAAAGAAAGTTCAGAATTTGCAAAATATGTCAAAATAAAGAAAAAATTTAATTTGTTCGAAGTAAATTTTTTTCAACAATGTTAATCTTTTTAAAAAAATAATAATTTTTGGTATGGGAATTTTCAGTAATTTGCCTTAAGGCATGATGCCATGCGCCCCACTATTTCAGTATATAACCCACTTGTTTACCTATCCCCAAGTGTATACCTGTCTAAATGTCAACTTGTTTACTTTTGTACATGTCTACCGGTCTACCTACATGCCTGTTAACCTGCCTACCAATCAACTTGTTTACTTTTCTACCTTTCTGCCTTCCTATTTGTCTACTTGTTTACTGACCACATGTCTACTTGCCCACTTGCTTCCTGTCACCTGTTTATAAATATAAACATGAATTGTAATCATTTCAGAGCATCAAATGCCAATCTTCTAACCTTCTCTCCTGCAACTCCAAAGCTGCTTGACCTGCCTTTGCAAAAATAAAATCAATCTTTTACTTCATCAATGCAAGTAAAATGTTCGAATAATTTGATCAGATGCTCTGTTCGATCAAAAGCTGCCATATTTTGCACTATTTGCTTCATATCTCCCATCCCACTGGACCTGTCTTTGCTAAAAACTAATCAGCACATCTTGCTGTGTATCTGAATTGAAAGTCTTTTTTTCATTTTTGCAGTATATTTCTTACTAATTATACATTATTATACATGCAAGTTGTTTAAATATTTAAATTCAGTTTAACAAATATGCTTATATTTCATTGATTTTCATCAGGCTTGGATATATTGCACACGGGAGGCTCATGACTGTGAATAACCATATGTCTCTTCAGATTACTATATTGTGTGAATGTCTTCTTGCATACATCGCATTCATGAGGGCGTACTCCATTGTGCGTCAGCATGTGACCATTTCGATGACCTGGTTGTGTAAATGTCTTATTACAAATATTGCATTCATAAGGACGTACTCCATCGTGCACCAGCATGTGCCTTTTTAGATTAGCCGAATCTATGAATGTCTTATCACATGCATTACATTTATGAGGGCTTAATCCATTATGCATCAGCATGTGTTTTTTCAGACTACATGATAGTGTGAATGATTTATTACAAATATCACATATGGGGGGGCGAACCCCACTGTGCGTCAGCATGTCGTTTCAGACCACCTAATTCTGTAAATGTCTTATTGCATATATTGCATTCAAGAGAATGTTCTGCAGTATGCATCACCATATGACTGTTCAGATGACCTAATTGTGTGAAAGTCTTATTACAAATATTGCACTCATATGGGCGTAACACCTGTGCATCAGCATATGTCTTTTTAGAGTAGCTGAAAGTGTGAATGTCTTATTGCATACATTGCATTCATAGGGGCGTACTTCATTGTGTAACAGCATGTGTGTTTTCAGACTACTTGATTCTGTAAAAGTCTTATTACAAATTTCACATTCATAAGGACGCACTCCATTGTGCGTAAGGAGGTGTCGTTTCAGACTACTTGATTCTGTAAATGTCTTGTTGCATATGTTGCATTCATGGGAGCGCACACCACTGTGCATAATCATGTGACGTTTCAGATTACTTGATTGTGTGAATGTCTTCTGGCATATATTGCATTCATGAGGACGAACTCCATTGTGAATCATCATGTGTTTATTCAGAGAACTTGATGCTTTGAATGTCTTATTGCACATTTCACATTTATAACGACGCTCTTCGCAATGAATCAGCATGTGTTTTTTTAGATTACTTAATTGTGTGAATGTCTTATCGCATTCATTGCATCGAAAGGGTTGTTTTTCAGGGCTAGGATTAGGCATGTGATCGACCATATGCTCTTTTAAAAGATGCGATTCTGCAAATGATATATTACAAATGTTACATTCATAAGGGGATGTCTCGATTACCTCCAGTTTGACTTCTTCTTTTATAGATACTTCGGAATTCATAAATCTTTCTAAACATGTTTCATAATCCTCAGTACATGGTTCAGATTTGACAATAGCATCAAGAACACCATTTTCATCTTGAATTTCGCTTTTAATCTCTTCCACTGAATATTCCGGTGGTTCAACTTTAATTGCCTGAGCATTAATAGACATAATTCCTTCTTCTGACATTTTTAAATATTTTCACTCACTCACGTATACTCAGTATACATTCACGATCTTTTAAAAAGAGCTTTCTTTTAAAAAGATTTCAACTTTTACGTATTAAAATTTGACATTTGAAGCATAGAGCATTAGAGTATGTTTTCAGAAAGATGAGACATTTATGAAAAAAAAACAAAAGTTAGTTATGCGTATGCCCATAGATAAAAGAAGAGTATAGACCTTATATTACAATATGTGTGACAGCAGCGCCAAATTTAATATTAACTACTTTAAAGATTATTAAAGAAAGAAATGTTATAAATAATAATAAACTAGTGAGGCGCATGACATCGTGCCTTAAGGCAAATTGCTGGAACTTCCCGTACCCGTAAATTTTTCCCGTAATTTTTTTTTTAAAAGATTAACATTTATGAAAAAATTATACTTTGAAAAAAAAATTTTATTTGGAAAAAAGGCCTTTTGAAAAAAAAATGTTTTCTTTATTTTAAAATATTTTGGAAGTTTTGATTTTTTTTTTCATAGTAATCGTGCTGCTTTAACTGCATAGAGACGGAATATAGAAGCGCGTAATCCCCGCGTCGCCGTCTAACGGAACCGATAGGAATGTAAACAAAATTTATACTTATTGTTAAAATCACTATAAAATATCTGATAATTTGATGTGTTATGATCATTTTTGACAGCCAAATGGCCATTTTTTTGCCATTTTTTACTAAATCTCCGTAACCGCTAGACCTGCCTTCATGAAAATTTGATCTTCATCCTGTCCATACAAGTAAAATGTTTTTTGAATTATTAAAATCGGACGCTCCGCTCTTAAAAACTAAGTTACCGTTTTTGGCATTTTTTGCGCCGTATCTACGAAACGGCTAGACCTGCCTATGCCAAAAAATAATCAACAACAATCAAAAGTTTTTTGAATAATCGGAATCGCTTGAACCGTGTTCCCGAAATCGTCGACGAAAATTTGTATCCGCACACACACACATACACACACAGCATCCATTTTTGTAAGGTATGCCAAAATGTTCAGAAACCTCTAAAACGTAAAGATATAAAAAAATTTTCATTTTCGATTTTTTTGGCGGTTACTATAACTTACCCTACGGGAAGTTAATAAGTTATATTAAAAAAGTGAAAGTTGAATAATTATTGACTTTTTAAAATTTACTTCAACGTACTTGAAACACATGTAAGTGATAACAATAAATAAAGAAATGCAGTAAACATTTATAAGATTAAGTTGCTTAAAACTTTTATCAAAATATCAGAATAGTTCTTAAAAACAAAATTATGATAATGATAAAAATATTTGGCTCAATCAAATAAGTAATTAATGATTTAATTTACTCACTTTTTCATTATTTTTGGTCGAACTCAATACTTGAACAATATTATAAAAACAGGAATTGAGTCCATCATCTATCAAATAAAATTCCAGCCGGAAACAATGATCAAGGGAAAAAAACTTCATTATAACTTTTCGAGAATTGTAAATTGAAGGAAATATTGTTGGAAAGAACTCAACATCTCTTCTGATTTTTTACATCCAATGTTTTTTTATCATCCACTACAAGTGCAATCATATGGCTTGGAAACCCACGGTTATTCATCAACACTACAAATATATATTTTTATTATTTCAGCATTGTATTAATTAAACTGTTTGCAAAATAAACTCTGTGATAACTTTTATTTTTCTTTTAATCATTTAATTAAAAAATATATTTTTAATTTAATTAATATATATGTAATAATTATATATAATTAATATAAAATATACAAATTTATATTTTTCAATATTTCAGCCCTGAACTGTTTGCAAAATATTTTTTTAATTATTAAATTTTGATAAGATGACTTATAAATTTTCTTTTTGCTAAACATAACAATTTATAATACTCCAATTTTTTTTTTATACCAATAAGATTATGATACTATGAAATGGTATTTCAGTTTTTAAGATAATGGAGCGTGTGATGGCAAAATGAACAACTGGCAAAATTTTTGTAAAGAGAATGTAGCGTCTTCGGAGATCCATTGAAAAAAGTAAAAAATAATGCCATTTGGCAGTGAAAAATGAACAATAGACATATATATGTTTACATATATATATATATATATATATATATTAGGGTGGTCCTTAAAATGGTCATTTTCGAATTTCCTTGCTCCCAGGGGCTCAAATGGTTCCAAATTGATAAAAAACAATTCTCTGAAAGTTTTAGCTCTTAATATTAACTTTTAGATAGAGCGCAATTCAATCAAAGTTTGTATGGAAAGAGCATGAAACAATTTTTGAAAATTTAAAAAAAATGTTTTAGGTATAACTTAGCGACAAATGAATGAGTTTTATTCATTCATTTGTTCGCTAAATTACATTTAAAAAACATTTTTAAAATTTTTGAAAATTTTTCCATGCTATTTCCATACAAAATTTTGATTGAATTGCGCTCTATCTAAACGTTAATATTAAGAGCTAAAACTTTCAGAGAATTGTTTTTTATCTATTTGGAACCATTTGAGCCCCTGGGAGCAAGGAAACTCGAAAATGACCATTTTAAGGACCACCCTAATATATATATATATATATATATATATATATATATATGATACATATGTATCAGATATTTTATAGAGATTATAACTATGCAACGCGATTGCCTAAAAATATGTATAAGATAAAAAAAAATTAAAATACAAAAAAAATCTAATTTTTCAGAAATAAAATCAATTTTTCGCTTCGTCAATGCAAGTAAAATGTTTGAATAATTCGAATCAGATGCTCCAATCTATCAAAAACTGCCATTTTCGCACTGCTTGCTTCATATCTCCAAAACAGCTGGATATGTCTTTGCTAAAAGCTAATCAGCCAAGCTTATGAATCAAAAGCCTTTTTTTTAATGTTTACTGTATATTTCATACTATTTATACATTTTATTATATCCAAGAATAATTCATAACATGTTTCCGAAAATATTCAATCCAATTTATCAAATATGCTTAAATTCCATTGATTTTCATCACGCTTCTGAATATGGAGTGTCATGTGTTTTTTCAAATTGTTCACTGGGGTAAATTTCTTTCTGCATATTTCACTCTCTGTTATGAGTCAGCATGTGATCTCTTAGATGACCTGGTTGTGCGAATTTCTTATTACAAATATTGCATTCACAAAGGCGTGCTCCACTGTGCATCACCATGTGTCTTTTCAAATTGCTTATTTGTGTGAATCTCTTCTGGCATATATTGCATTAATGGGAGCGTTCTCCATTGTGAAGCAGCATGTGTTTATTCAGACTATCTGATTTTTTAAATGTCTCATTGCATATTTCACATTTAAGAAGGCGTTCTTCTGCATGGATAAGAATGTGTTGTTTTAAATTGCTGTTTTGATAGAATGCCTTATTGCATATGTCACATTTAAAAGGGCGTTCTCCTGAATGAATAAGCAAGTGTCTTGTTAAATGGCATTTGCGATGGAATGCCTTATTGCATATTTCGCATTTAAAATGGCGTTCTTCTGTATGAATAAGCATGTGTGTTGTTAAATTGCCTTTGCGATAGACTGCCTTATTGCATATTTCACATTTAAAAGGGCGTTCTCCTGAATGAATAAGCAAGTGTCTTGTTAAATGGCATTTGCGAAGGAATGCCTTATTGCATATTTCGCATTTAAAAGGGCGTTCTTCTGTATGAATAAGCATGTGTGTTGTTAAATTGCCTTTGCAGTAGAATGCCTTATTGCATATTTCGCATTTAAAAGGGCGTTCTTCTGTATGAATAAGCATGTGTGTTGTTAAATGGATTTTCTGATAGTATCCCTTATAGCATATTTCGCATTTAAAAGGGCGTTTTTTGCTATGTCTATGCATATGATCGACCATATGATTAAATTCTGCAAAAGATTGATAACAAATTTCACATTCATAAGAGGATGTCTCGATTACCTCCTGTTTGACTTCTTCCTCGATGGTCACTTCGGACTTAATGAATCTTTCTAAACACGTTTTATCATCCTCGGTAAACGATTCAGTTTTGACAACAGCACCAAGAACACTATTTTCATCTTCTATCTCGCTTTTTATGTCATCTACTGGGTATTCTGGTGGTTCAATTTTAATTGCCTGAGCATTAATAGACATAGTTGTTTCTTCTGACATTTTTAAATATTTTCATTCACTCACGTATATTCAGTAGATAATCACAAAAATAGGTGAGTACTAAATAATAACCTTTATAACCTATATCAATCAACTTTTTAAATAAATTTACATTTGATATTTGACATTTGAACCATTGAGTTTTCCCAAAGATGAGACATTCAACTGAGAGCATAGATAAAAGCAGAAGATAGGATTATCTATCGTTTCTCATTACCGATACAGAGCGCTAGTTAAGGAGTCGGGCGTGATGGTGGCGCTGCATAGACCTTATACAATTTCATGGACTGCTAATCCCATAGACCTTATACAATTTCATTGTATACAATTGTATTGTATAAGGTCTATGGCTAATCCCCATACATTTCTCAAGTAAAAAAGTGTCAAAAGATGTTCTATGGTATGAGGGCAAACGAGGGTAGTTTTGCGGCCGAGATATGTCAAACTCGATCACTTGAACGTCAAATGAAAGTCCTTGTGTTCGAAATTGTTGGGAAAATATTATATAATATACAATTTATGTTAAACTAATGAATGTAATGAATTATTTATATATTTATTTATTTATTTTAGTTATACAAAGTGTTTAAGAAAAATATTTTACGTATTATAAAATTCACTGAAAATAAGAACAGTTGGCTAGAGCTATTATGGGAAATTAGAAAGCAATAATGAAATATTTGTTTAAATGCGATATATTTATTATTGGTGTTTAAAAAGCACAATTTTTGTGTGAAAGTGGCGTACATATTTATCAACTTTGCTTTTTTTATGTTCTTCATGGTGCATTCTAATTGTTAAATACATTTTTGCGACAAAGTTGATAAGGTCATGATAGTGCTGGACAAATTGCTGGAAATGGCTTGATCTAAAAAAATGTGCAAGTCCCAAGTCATTCAACTTTCGGAGAATCGTGCTTTCATATGAACTTTTGTACATTAAATTTAAAGAATTTCGAATTTGGGTTTCTATATATAAACATAATTTAAACATTGCATTGGAAGGATATGAAAGATATCCTCGATTTTTTATATCGATGAATGTCGAATTTCCCGGAATACTTGCGAAGCATTCAGAACAGGTTTTACTGCAATCAGGAACTTTACCACAGACCAAACACATTTTAGAAGACATTTTACTTTTAACAATTTTATAACAGGTATATTTTTATCCTCTTTTAGTTTAAAAACCCGAGCGATCAAACATCACGTGAACCCAAGTAACTGTAAAATTTAAGCGATCGAGTGCATTCGATAATCTCGGTAAAGCTCGTGTTCGTATTTGACATATCTCGGCCGCAAAATTACCCTCGTATGCCCTCATACCATAGAACATCTTTTGACACTTTTTATGCGCTCAACTAGCAGTCCATGTATTGTATAAGGTCTATGTGGCGCTGTCATAGACCTTATACACCATAGATAAACAAGTATAAGTTGAAGTATAAGTAATAAATAAGTATAAGTATAAGTTATATACAATGTGATCATCATAGATAAGTATGTATAAACGATGAACGCCATAGATAAATAAGCATAATGGTGAACGCATTCAATTTTTTTTTATTATTATTATTTTAATAATTTTTACAACTGTCCTGCAACGGACAACAAGTAAAATATTTCACATAAAACTGAAGGCGTTGGCAAATTACAAATGGTTCATATATACAAGCAAATAAGTTTATCTCACCAAACAGTTACACGTAGAATTGATGATATTTTAATGAAAATTTTTAGCAAACGTCAACAAAACTACTCATTTTCTCAAACTTTGATGAATTTTTGAAATTAAACTACTTGTCGTAAGGCCGTAATATTTCAGTAAGTTCTATAAGACCTGATATATATCGTCAAAAAAGTTCCATAAAAATTAGCTCAATTTTTTTTCAACAGTTAATTACAAAAAAAACGGCTCGGTAGATTTTCACCTAAAACTAATCATTATCGTTCCCAACAAATATCTTTCAAATAGTTTTTGAATTTTTATAATCGATTCGGTAGTATGAGCTTAAATATTGACGAAAAGTTTAACACTTTATTACAAATTACAAAGAAACGGCTCGGCAGATCGTCGTACAAAACTGACAGCCTATAGTCCTTATTGAGATACATCAAATGGCCTTTGAATTTCTAAAATCGGTTCAGGCGTTTTTGAGAAAACATCGAACAAAGAACTAATTTTGACAAATGCCAAAAAACGATACTAATTTTTGCAAACTTTAAAGAATTTTTAAAATTAAATAACTTGTCGTAGGGCCGTAATAATTCAGTAAGTTCTATAAGACTATGGTATCTACCGTCAATTTTTTTTTAACACTTCATTAGAAGAAAACGGCCCGGCCGATCTTTACCAAAAACTAATTGATAAACGCTAGTCCTCAGCGAGATACATCGAATGGCTTTAAAATTTTTGAAATCGGTCCAGTCGTTTTTTGAGAAAACGTCAATTTGCGGCAAAAAATCTGTTCACACAAACACACATACTTTTTCCAAATTTATTCTCATTCGATTCAGAATGGCTTGAAACGTCGGGACAACATAAAATTAACGAATCGATTTTTTATGAAAACAAATTTCTCCTTCGGAAAGTTAATAATAAATGAAAATTACCTCCGGTTTAACAAAAGTGATTTTGTTCAAGTTGACTCAGCAATAAATGGCGCATCTAAAGCAAAAAACCTGTAGACTTCGAATCCAAAACTGCAAAACTAAGATTATTTATAAAAAAAAACTTGGAAAAAACTGTAGATCTACAGTTTAAACTGTATCTTGGCAACAATTGTCGCCAATGCTGCCAACAATTAAATTCGTTCTGGCACTGTCACAAAATGGATGCCCTCGCGCCATTGTTGACAGTTTTGACAATCAACACATCAAAATATAAGATTCGATGTTGACACTACATAACTTATATTAAAACACATTTGTATTATTTTGTAACTAGTTTATAATTTATATATGAAATTATTTATGTATTTAAAATGTCAGAAGCTACGACTTCTTGTGGATCCGATCAAGTAGTGAAAGTAGAACCAATAGATTACTCAATACAAGAAATTGCTGATGAAAATGGTGAAGAGTCAGAAAACGAGCCTTCTGAAGAATTCCCTTATCCCGAAGTAACTTTAGACGAAGATGTAAGAGAAACCAGCAACAAAACCAACCAGGAACAAACATTTCAACAATTTAGTCTCGAAGCATTAAAATGCTTTGTTTGCAAGAAAACATTCTCAGACTCTGCACAATTAACAAAACATATGAACACCCACACTAAACAATTCAAATGTGAAACCTGCAACAAAGAGTTCAACCACATAAAAAAATTGAGGCGACACAAGTCAGTACATGGAGAACGGCCTCATAAATGTACTATATGCAGTAAATCCTTCCCCTTTGCAAGCAATTTAAAAAAACACATAGCCATCCACACTGCAGAGTACTCCTACAAATGCGATGTATGTGAAAAATCCTTCACCCGTGCTGATAATTTAAAACAACACATCTACACGCACACCGGAGAACGGTTTTACAAATGTGATATGTGTGATAAGACGTTCACCCATTCTGGGCATTTAAAGACTCATCTAGTTACCCATACCGGGGAAAGACCTTATAAATGTAAACTGTGTGATAAAGCGTATAGTTTTTCGATTAATCTAAGAAGACATAAGTTGACTCATACAGGGGAAAGACCGCATAAGTGTGAGATTTGTGGTAAGGGATTCACGCAATCTGGACATTTGAAGACGCATATGGAGTCTCATGCTAAGGAGAGTCGGTATAAATGTGATTTGTGTGATGAAACATTTGCTTATATTAATGCTCTGAAAAAACATCGGAGGGTACACAAGAAGAAAAAATCAGAATTGTAATATATATATATATATATATATATATATATATATATGTATTTGTTGATGGTTTTGTCGATGTTTATACATATTTAAAGTTTTTTGCAGTCCAATTTTCAAATTAAAAAAAATAGTTATTATAAACAAATTCTTTAAAAAAACGTTTTAACACTTAATGTGTGTCATCATTCAGTAATCAAACCACGAAAAACACAAAAACATAATATTTATTATAAACACATTATTGTAAAAATAAATAATTAATTAACTGAACAAATGATATTGATTCTGTATCGTTGTTGATTCAACGTTGTTGTCAACGTTCTTGAGTTTTCAAATTGGGGCATTATATCCTCCTTTAATTTTGTTGTTTCATTAATTATTTATTAGTTATGATGTTTTTTACACAATTTTATTGCTTATAAATTTTTATGCTTTTCTGGTTTATGCTTTCCCAGTAAGTGTCGAAATGTTTATTAAAGAAATTCTCTATATTAACCCCTGTTTTTAATTTGACGATTGGGTTGCAAAATACTACAAATATATATATATATATATATATATTCTTAAAGTGATAATAATATTATTTTTGTAAATATAGATATACTGCAATATTATTCATTAATTTATTTATAATAAATAAAAGTTATAATCATTTTGAGATTATGGTTTGTCTTATCGTCAATGTTAACTAAAAATTTTGTTTAGTACAATGGTACCCCGAAAGGAGCGGTTTGTTACTTTGATATACGAGCAAAATTTGAGATACAATTTTCAATTGTGTAACAATTTTCTAGAAAAATGTTGATGGTAAAATGAAAATATAAATAATATCATCAGTAGTAACAATAATTTTCCTATGATAGAATTATTTAGGCTGTTTTATGATAGTGAATTATTTTATAGTTAGTCGTTTCAATTATATATAAGCAGCTTTCTAAGCTCGAAAAGCCCTTGAATGAAAGTGCCCCCGAAACAGTTGCAACAGTTTGGGAATCTCTTTGAATTGCTCAACGAAGCATGTCTAACTCATTTCTTCAATATCATAAATGGGCAGGAAAAAAACAATAAAAAAATAGTAAAGTTATTTCAGATATTAAAAAACCTTATCATAACCACCCTGCTGAAATGAATGAATGACGTTTTGGTTCCATTATATGGAAAATATTGCTTCGACATACGAGCGTGGTTATGGAATGAATTAAACACAAGGGTACCACTGTATTTAAAAAGCATTCAATATGTTTTCTTGATAAAGCTATGATTATCAATTGCTACAAAAAAATTGAGTTTACCTTAATCAAAAACGTTCAGCAAATATTGAATTAATTTTTTGTAAAAGAGCTGACTCAACAACAGCAGCCAATATGGATGCATTACACAGTCATACACTTTAATTTTGTTATCATAATAAGAAAAGATTGTTTTGTTTTAATTGAATACATTTTTTTCTTATATTTTGTATGAATGTGAAAAAATTATATTATTTAGCATAAGTACCTAATTGTGATATTTGACAAACTTTATGCTAAATAAATGAAAATCAATTAATTATGATTATCAGTTAAATATTAAATTGTTTCCTTATTTTGTTTTTTTTTTTCAACTTCCCCGAAGTTCATATTGTTAGCAGAAAACCAAAATTTTATGTTTAGTCATTTTGAATTGTTTGAAGCCAAAATTGAAAAAAGTACGTGTTATTATAAGAAAAAAAGGTTGCTGTTGGCAATCAGCGATTATATAAAAAGCTTAATTAACAAAATATCATTTTATACTTATTTTCAATTTCCCGTAGTAGGGTAAGTTATAGCAATTAAAAATTTCCCGTAGGGTAAGTTATAGCAATCGCAAAAAATCAAAAATAACATTTTTGATTTATCTATAAATTTAAGATGTTTCTGAACATTTTGGCATACCTTACAAAAAATAAATGTATGTGTGTGTATGTAGTATTTATTTGTGTATGTTTGGATACAATTTTTCGTCCACGATTTTGAAAGCATGGATCAACCGATTTGAATAATTAAAAAAACATTCGATTTGTATTGATGAGGAGACGCGCTTACTAGTGTGTAGTATGTATGTATGTTTTGGATACAATTTTCCGTCCACGATTTCGAGAGCACGGATCAGCCGATTTGAATAATTCAAAAAAAAATTGATTTGTATTGATGGGGAGATGTACTGACTAGTTTTTGGCTAAGGCAGGTCTAGCCGTTTTAAAGATACAAGGTAAAAATGGCAATTTTGTGAGAACGGAGCGTCCCATTTGAATGACTCAAAAAACATTCGTTTCGTGTTCGGTGGGGAGACGTGCTGATTAGTTTTTCACAAAGACAGGCAGCCTTTTTTAAATACGCGGTAAAGAACAACTAAAATGACAATTTTGTGAGAACGGAGCGTCCCATTTGAATGATTTAAAAAATATTCGATTCATATTGATAGGGAGACTTGCTCATTAGGTTTTGCCAACGACGAGCTCAGTTCTTTCGAAGATACGGGGTAAAAAGTATTAAAAATAGCATTGCGCCATGCACCACTAGTTTTCCAAATTTTTCAAAAAATTTTAGAGATTTTTAAACATTTTAATTTTTGGTATGGGAAGTTTCCAGCCATTTATCTTAAGGCTCGATGCCATTAACCACCACTAGTCATACATACATTTTAATTTTATACAGTATAAACTCTATGGTGACAATTCTGTGGCAACACAGTCGATTACCTAGCGTTGTTATGGCAACGCTAACTTATCCTTTTTTATGGAAGTAAAAACTGTGAAAATGCTATCTATTTGATGTGCAATCAGGCGTATTTTACATATAAACAAGCAAGGAAGAATGCTATGATAAGTGCATCTTTAAGATGCGCATTTATAATATACTGTATTATGTGTAAACACCTGATAGTACAGCAATTACATAGCATTTTCACAGTTTTAGTACTAAAAAAAGGATAAAAAAAGAAGTATTTTCACAGTTTTAGTACCAAAAAGAAGGATAAGATAGCGTTGCCATAACAACGTTAGGTTAACGCAGAATTTGCCTCTATATATATCATAAATCTTCGTACATTAGTCCTCAAAACAGTAGTTTAACTCTTCAAAAACAACTCTGCTGCAAGGCAAAAACCATAACCAAGTTCTTTGTAAAAAAACTTCAAATTAAGAAAAAAATGGCTGAAGCAAATTATATAATAAAGTTTAATACAAAACACACGTATTGTATTCCTCACAACTTCCAGCTTCTAGCACTACACGAAGTTTCACTTCAATAATAAATATCTGCTTTTGCATATTATTATGATTCGGATCATAGATAAAAGATAGATCAATCATAGATACATAAAATATTGTTACACTATTCAAAATATTGCTATCTCATTATTATTTTTGACACTAAATTTATACCACAAGACTTCCATACCAAAAACGCAAATACAAACCCCGCAGCACACTAACCAGGCACAAAAAATAAACGCAAGGTCTTTAAATTTATAAACATTGCCATCAGTAGAACTTGTATGTCTATATCGAACTTCCTTTTGCCTATTTATATCATAATAAACATCGTCTCTCCATTTTGGCATCAGACCACTCTCTCTGATTTTCATCAGAACAAAATTGAATCTGCCTCTGTAAGGCGAGTGGGATGGTATCATATGAGCACTGTACCTATTCCTAGGAGCATCTGTTAAAACATGCAACAACTTTTTACCAGTTTTAGGATCTCTGGCATTGAGTTCATTAACTTTGCAACCCATCAAACTGTACAACATGGCAGAGTCCCTGACTTCGGCGACTCGCCTCAGTAGTTCAGATTGGTCGTCGATGAGTTCTTGACGGCTGTATAAATCCATGAAGTATTTAGGAGAGTCTTCAGCATAAGCTATGTCTTTTAACAGTTCCTTAAAACCCGTGACAGTAACTACTTTTAAATTTGTGTTGGCCAAGTCTTCCATGGAATAAATGTCCAAAGATACAACACTAGTCGTCAAGTGTTCAACCATGGTAGCTTGGTACGTGAAAGTGTTCACCATAGAGAACAGTATTAAACCAGAATATAAACAACGTTCGTGCAACAAATCTTTACCAGGTTGTGACACCAGAATGTAGTTTCCAAATGTCCATAAGGATACACCAACCAAGTCGAAGTTGCGTCCTGTCTATTATGCAACTTTTCCAGCAGTCTCCAAATTGCAACAAAGACAAAATAAGATATTCCTAAGAGTATTGATGCTTGCCAGCTGTAAATTTCCAAAAACGAGACAGTGGATGCTTCTTCCATTTTTGGAACAATGAAAGCCAAGTCCATTGTGTCTGGGGAAATAAAATTCGGAGTTTTTTTGTCCGTAGTCTTTTACGGGGCGTAAATTTGCTGCAATGTCAGCATCACCATTGTCTATATCTTTCAAAGAACCTGAAGAAGGAAAATATTTTTACTAAACTATGCGTGAGTGGTATTTCGACTTAAGACAAGTTGCATAATGTTCCCCATATGTGTAAATAAACTTATTTAGTTCAATATTTTTCTTGTTTTTCAATACTTTCATTCAACTGTCTTAAGGCGAAACTCACTTACTACTTTTCCTTCAATTCATCTTACCAGTTATGCTCCCATTAGGCTTCTTGTGTCCATAAGGAACCCCATCCTTTGGAAAAACATAAACAGGATCAAAATTCGAGGCTTTAGCCAATGCATTTATAATTTCACCATCTTGCAATTTAAATTTCTTAATAGTTCCATTAACATAAACATCAGGAGCAGCCGTGCCAGGATTGATAAAAATACAAATCTTCAAAGGATATTTATGGACATCCCACAAACGCGTTTTTAGAGATAACAAAATGTCTCAACAACAATTTTATGATTATTTGCTAATTCGAAAGTGAACGTTTGTCCTCTGATGGTAGAACCTTGTAATGGCAGAAATGGATCAAGAATTGACAATTTTAAACGTAATATTTTCTTCCAAGTTGCAGAAGATGATGTTCATCATTCCGTAAATGTGCCAGGATGTTTCTAGAAATAGTTGTCCTTCCAATTCTGATGAATTTGTGGCTAGGAAGATGGCTTTTGCGTTTCGATCGCGATTGTAAAGACGTTCTAGTCGTGATGAAAATGTTTGTAAAGAGTTGGCAACCACGATGTAGCCGTTTGTGGTTCTAGGACGGAATACTTGGTCTGTGTCTACGGCTGTGATGTTATGAAGATTTCTAAAAAGGTAATAAAATCGATTGGTCTTTAATTAACGCAGTACATGTGGTGGAAACAATTTCTATGAAAACAAATCCAAAAACAAGAAACTTGGAAAAAGATACTAAAACTACATGATTTTTAAATTTTGTTATTTCGTTATCGAATAAGTTCAACAATAACACACAGATAAGAGAAAAAATACTGATGATACACAAACATAAGAAAAAACAAAAAGTATCAGTTAAAAATGACAATAAACTACGTATAAACATGAATTCTAGTAAGATGATCTTTCAATCTATGGAGATAATAATGTATTGATATCATTTA